TGGAACTTTTGTTATTTAATATTGATATAGTAATTATTTCTTTTCCTCGAAAAATTTTTAAACGAATGTCAAATTATTGATAATGTCAAAAAACTTTTTTTTTATCGATTTTAAAATGAAGACATAATAAATGAAACATATTGTGTAATAATCTTGAATTTATTATTGGATATATTTACCATTTTGTATAAGTCGTTTTGTCTCGATTGTCTTATCGATTATTGTACGAATTTTTAGTAAACCCACGTTCATATGAATAGAGTATGTCAACATTTCCATTAGCAAGCCGTTGAATTTCATTTGTAACGAAGCATAGTTTATCATTATCAAGTAATCCATTTGCGACAAATTCCATTAGTTCTTTTTTTTGGTCATCTAGGCACAATGTAAACTTTTAAAATTTTTTTTTACTTTACGAAAAGAAGTAACCTGTTTTATACCTTTTCTTCCGATTTTAACTCAATTTATTTCGATTCGAATATTCCGATTTAAACTCTGCTGATCATCTTTAAGATGTTTCACAGCTATTACAATGGCCTCGGATACAATCGGATGACATAATAACAATTACTCGATATTATTCGCTGAGATTGTAATGTTTTTATATTCAATTTAAGTAGATTTGCGAACGTAGAACAAACTATGTTAATTTTGCCGTTTTCACTATAACAACTGATATCATTAATAAAACACCATGCTGTGGATGCAATAGCGTTATATTAGTGCTTCTTTGTTAAAAATTTGCGATGGTTTGTAATTTCTAAATTTTGTTTATATTATAAATCATAGTTATAATACTTCTATCAATTAAAAATAAGCTATTATGCATTATTGAGCCAATATTTGTGTCACATACGTTATATTGTTTTAAACTATATACTGATATAAACTATATACGAGTTTTGCAACAAATTATGCCAAGTTCGTTTGGAAACTACTTTTTCTTTATTTTTATCAATGCTACTTGAACATTTTTGGCTATGTAATTTACAAAAAAGTAGGTTGTTTGGCAACAACTGCCTCTTGTCGATAAATAACCAGGACATTTATGATCTACCTAAAATAACTCATATTTCATTACTAGTTTTCAATTTTTGCAATTTCATTATCCTTGATTACAAGTGTAATTATAACAATTTACGCACTGTATACTCGAATGATAGGAATGTTTTGAAAAATTGCAAAAAGTCATCGTTCATCTTATAATAATTGAATAACAATATCTTCAAAGTGACTCGCTACGATTGACTCGTGATCTGTAGATCCGGGTTCAATCTCACCTGTGTTCACATACGCGATTTTTGCCGAAAATAGCTCCATCTGGTGATTGCAAGACCTTTGATCCACCAGCGCCGTTTGGATCCGGCAGTTCCATATATAATATATCAATGAATATATGTATGGGTTCCCCAAGGGTAGACATACTAATTTCGAAAAATGATAAATTTACCTTTAAAATAAGTTACATCCCAAGGATTTATGATAACACCAATAAAAATAGATAACAAAAATGGAATGTACATAACAAACATATTACGTGTACAAATTGTAACTACTCGTATATCTCCCTTATAGTTTCTTTCTTCAGCCATAATATACACTTTACGCTATTGGCTAAAGAAAGTAGGTGTAAAAAAAGGCAATATAGTAATATGCACACGTAAGACATCTATTATGTGTATCCCGTTCTTAGCATTTATTTATATTGATGCAATCATAAATTCTTGAGATGAAGTACATTTGAAAGATAGATTTATCATTTTTATATTTCATGTTGTATGTTTTATCTAGTATAATATTTTATTCTGACATTGTTTATATTTAACAAATGTATTTGTGCTCTTTATTCGCTTAGCATAAAGTAATTTTCATTGTTTGAAAGCATTAGGGGCTCCGCACAAGAGAATAAGAATAAGAATTTCAACCTATCAGAAACTATATATTCTACAATACATGATTTCTGATATGTTGAAATTCTTATTCTCTGTTCTCTGTTCCTTTTATTGTGCGAAGCTCCTTACCTGACCGATAAAATTTGGCTTAGATTTAAATGCATTTAAAATCAAATCTCCAATATTTTCTTGAAATCGATTTTTCGTAGCCAATTAATTTTGCTTCTTTTTTTGGGTAAAATGAATATCATATCATTCGATAGCACACTGAACAGATGTACAGTAATGTTAAAATAATGCTTGTATTACAATACATATATATTTGCAAGTATGATAAAATGGATCTTATATCACATTTTTATATATATTATGTTTTATATCTTTTAAATATATATTATACCTATCTATTACCTCTCCATTCTATAATATGTACCATCTTTTTTCATAGATTTCGTATCGATAATCGAATTTAAATTTCTTAATGATGATAACGTTAACGTTCTTGCTAAAAGCAAATGTTAAAACAGCACTTTACATTCTGACGAATCTACTTCTACGTGACTAACTTTTGAATAAATATTGTTAACCAATACAATATTTATTTATGATTCCAATATAAAATAAATAATCTTACGCTAAGAGTTTAGTCAAAATATTATAAGTTATAACATACATATAAATCGCATTTCTGTCTCGACCGACTTATCGATTTCTGTATCAATTTTCAATAAGACAATCGTTTTGTAATTATAGTAATGTTAATATTTGTCACAATATTCCGTTATAATATTCTAATTTGATATCAAAGATTTGTGTAAATATCCTAGAATATTCGATTTAATAGAACTCTCTCGGAATAAATTTATATAAAAAAAAGATTCGCGACACGCAATGAATTTTTTATCTTCTGGTTCTTTCGAATTCATAATATTTTATAACTGGATGCGATGATATTCGTTCTAATTATTCATATACAATACCAATGAAATATTTTGAAAATGCTTAGTACTTCTCAGTACTTATACAGTTCAGTAATTATATTTGCGACATATAAAATTTTTGATAAAACTCCTGTTTAGGAAAATCTTCTCTGATGATCTTGGCATATGTTATCAAGGTCATGACCCTGAGTGATCTCCAATAAGTTTTGACCATCGCTCGTCCTTTATTAAAAAGTTATGAATAAAATTTGAAAAATAAAATCTCTTTTCTATTACATAAAACAAAAATTCTCTACTTTAAAATATATATTAGGATTTTTCACGAGAAGCGACTCTCACCAGCGACTTCCCCTGCTTCAGGGGCGCACGACTCTCACCTTCGACTCTCATTCCCCCTCCCCTCCTCCCCCTGCAAAGAAGCACGTCCTATGTAGATTGACTGATTTTACAATAATAGGGGGAGGGGGGGGGGGAGGGGAAATGAGAATCGAAGGTGAGAGTCGTGCGTCCCTTTGCAGGAGGGAAGGGGGATGAGAGCGGGAGATGAAAATCGAAGGTGAGAATCATCAAGGTCATAATCCTGAAAGACCTCCAGCACATTTTA